TTATTCATATTTATTTGGTTCATGTCTCAGGACACAACTAAACTAGTGTTCTCAACGTCACCAACAATGACACCAGCCAATGTCACCAACCACTGACCAACAAATCCATTTCTATTGAAAAATAATCCGGAAGTCACTTATTCCTATCAGTAGTTGCACATCAGATTCTAAAATGAACTTGCTCAAATATTCCTAATTCTTATAAATTCCTAGGTAATGATGGAGCTGAGATAAAATTAAATGCTGAGGAATTATTTAGAAAATAAAGCAACACAGCCCTTCCAGTCTGGGAAATATGAACATATTTTTACACCCTCCCCCTTTTATTTTCAGTTATAGTTATTTGTCTAGAGCATCTAAACTTTGGTCTTAAATCCTCAATTCATTTAGCCTACTGAGATATAGCCTTTGCTTAATAACATAAATTCTCACTATCAACTTATGAAGAGGAGAACTAAATCGTTGTGGCCTAATAATAAAATGTGATGAAAAACAAACAAACAGAAACAATAACAAAAATCACATAAGAGTTCGGTTGGTCCTAGAATCAAATTAGGATAATTGAGAGCTGAAAGAAGAAATATCATGGCCCTACAAGTGGAAGAAAACACCTGAATAATATAAATAGACATGGTGATCTTAGATCATTTTTGGAATAATTAAGGATCAACATGAATACATCCATCCATACTTATAAACATGCAGACAGATTCAATAAGTTGCACAACTTCGCACAGGGAATAAGCAATGAATCTGGGATTTGAAACCAAATAAATGCATCCACCCCAATACCAAAAATAATTGAAGAGTTTGAATGGATAATCACAGAGGGTGGTGTTTGGTCAGATCCTTACATGAAAGGCCAGCTATATAAAGATCTGGGGATAGAACATTTTAAGCAAAGGGAGCTTCAAATGGAAAGACCTGAGGTGAGAAGAGGTTGGAAGTGAAAGTAAAGAGAGAAGCCAGCTGGGCTGGAGCAAGCCCCATTTATCAATGCCATTGTTGTCCACTTGCATTATAGCACCAGAGATTGGTAATGGCCACATCCTCCAGAAAGCACAGGTGACCACTTTTCATTCCAAAGGAAAGGCCTTTTGATTCTTTTGGCATTTCAATCGTTAGTGTGTAAGGTAATTACTAGCTGGCTAACATTTGAGCAGGATTGATAGATTCCATTTAGGTCAATGTGTGGCTTATGCTTTCCCACCCCAGGATATTTGCCAAGGTCAGTAGGTTATAGGGCAAATAAATGCCACGATATGTCAAAATTTTTTATTCTTCTTGCATTTCTCCTGCCTTCTTGTTTAAGCACTGGAGCCAGCCTGGAAAGCTAATGGTGTAAGCCCTAGCCCAGTGCTGCACATATAAACACCTTTTAATTCTCAATGACTAGGTCAAGGTAATAGCAGGTATTTGAAGCATCAAAAGATTCTTCCAAACACTTTATTTACTACCACAAATGAAAAATAAAATGAACAATAAATTGTGTTTAGTTTTATTTTATTTTATTTTTTTTCAACGTTTATTTATTTTTGGGACAGAGAGAGACAGAGCATGAACGGGGGAGGGGCAGAGAGAGAGGGAGACACAGAATCGGAAACAGGCTCCAGGCTCCGAGCCATCAGCCCAGAGCCTGACGCGGGGCTCGAACTCACGGACTGCGAGATCGTGACCTGGCTGAAGTCGGACGCTCAACCGACTGCGCCACCCAGGCGCCCCAAATTGTGTTTATTTTTAAACTCTATTATCCTTTTTGTTGTTCTTTTATTAACTGAATTATTTTTGGCACACGAAAAAGCTGTAACACATTTGACGTATACATGTTGATGAGTTCTAAGGTAAGTATACACCCGTGAAACTGTCACCATCTACAATGCCATAAATTTAACCATCAGCTCTAAAAGTTTCCTCCTTTTTACCTTTTGATAAGCATAAGTGAATGTATTGTATTTTAAAAGGTAGAACTAATAAAATAATGTGTATTTGGGGAGATGGGTTGGGCGGGGTTTCTAAGCAGCCAAATAGCCATTTTGGTAGGTTTTTCCTTTCTATCAAGAATACACATTTTGATGCCCTATAGATATAGCCCTAAATCTCAAAATATGGGGGGAAAAAAGCAAAGTAGAAAATATTTTACCTCATAGTTGATATAGCAGTATGTTCAATTCAGGTCCGTAAGCAAATTTATTCAAAACTATCTACAACCTAAAACCTAAAAATTCTGCCTGGATTCCTAAGCTCATTTTGTCTGAGCTCGAGAAGCCCACATCTAATAAAAAGTTAAAATACTTCTGAAATTCAAGCATAACTGCTAGAGTTTAATCAGTCTTGGTGATGTAATGAAGATAGCTAGGGGGAATGCACTGGATCCAGATCTAATGGTTTTTTACTAAAACTTGCGCCAAACACTGCAGTCTACATTTTCCAAGGCCCTTCCTATAGCAGAGCTATTCATTACAATTTCTTAATTATTCATTCCAGCAAGGTTTATAAGCCCACCGCTAATGACAAGGCTATATGTGATTGCTTAGTAATCCCATTTTTTATCTGATGTTAATTAATGCCCACTTATAAATTGTGACTTAACCATAAAAATCCACTTGGTCCTTGAGTTTAACCTTTTTTATTCATTGAAAAACTAGAAGAAATCTGCCCTAAGGCACCCTCGTAAGTCCACTGTGCTGGTTTTATTAATATTTAAGCATACAACAGAGTTATTTCTTGGTATGAACTCAATGAATTCACTCCATGAGTAGTATTTGGGACATGGCGTCAGCATAGAGTTTGAAGGGGGAGGGGAATAAGTATCATTCTTTTTTCCACTCCAAGAGGCAGCTCTCTGTCAAGATTTCAACATTTTTAAATGTTGACAAGCATGTACACTCTAAGACACATTTTTTGCCTGGCTCATTATGTAAATTATATTCATGTAATGCATCACTTGGGTATTCAGGTGCAAGCCCATGGTGTCTAATACATGTTTTCTTTGTCAGGAGCGACAGCACTGTACATTTTCAGTAAAGATAACCGATCAGGGGAAAGAAAAAATAACTGCTATTTTCAATCAGAACTATGGAAAGTACCCTTAGTCCAGAAAAGATGTGATGCCAGGCTAAGGCTGTAAAATACATCTCTGACCTTATTATCCAGGCTCCTGTGTTAAATATAGTGGCTATAATAGAATTTGTATGCCCTAGTTTCTGACAGGTTGAATGTTGCTTAGTGATCCAGGAGTGGAAAATGGCTGTCTGCATTCAAAGGAGATCATAGATTACAGACATTTCCTGGGTATTGCAACCAGAGGATGCTGTTACAATGGCTCACAAAAAGAGAGACAGCCTCCTAATGCCTATAATTGGAAGGGCACTGTATTTATTATCTATTACTGTGTTATGAATTACTCCAAAACTATTTCTTTAGCTCAAAACTATTTATTTATCTCTGGGTCGGGAACCTGGGATGACTTAGCTGGTTCCTCTGCTTTAGGGTCTCTCACAGGCTTCAGTCAAGGGGTCAGCCTGAAGTCTGGGGTCATCTCAAGGCTCAGCAGGGGAATGACCTTTTCATTTGCATTAAAATCAAATCATTAGACTTACTTCACCAAGGGAATGGAATATACAAGGTGTGAATATCAGGAGGCAAGGATCATTGGGAACCATTTTAGAAGTCTTCCTACCAAAAGAACTGGGATCTCTCAGGTACCCAAATATCCCTCCCCTGTGATGGCATATTTATCATGGCACCTAGTGAAACTTACAAGCCAACACAATGAAATGGTAACACCTTGGATCTCTTCCTATGCCATGTTGACTGGCATGAAATTTAATAGTGTTATTCACAGGAAGTACTTACCATAGTGCAAAAAGGGAACTTATTTTTTTAAATTCCAAATAGAAGCAGAAAATCATTCTTTCTGGGAAAAAAAAAATAGGTTTGAATGTCCTTTCCCTTCATGTCTCCAATATATACAAAGCCTCGTCCAAAAGTCCAGAAGAGAACCTTAATCTTGCAATGTAGAAGGCAGGCACAGCAGGGTAGCTGAGGGAACTAGGGAGCTGCAGCAACCTGGACCCAGCCGCAGCCAGCATTGCACAGAGCATAAGGGTCAGAAGCAAAGCTTTCAGTGAAAATCACTTGACAAACACTGTTAGCTGATGACTCTACTCTTACCAAGGACCTGAGCAAGGCTAACACTTAACAATAAAGCCATTGAAACCAGGAGCAGACTTTGCCCAAGCAAGAGGCATAAATAATGTGCATCAGGAGCAAGCAAAGGAGAACATAGAGTAGTTCAGGAACATTCCCTTGGCTACACTGGCTAAAGATTATCACTAATCATAAATGGTGAGGAACTAAGGATTGCCACTTATGTCCACTGTGTTGTATTTTTGTAAAGAGATGGGTAGGATTTTCCTATGAGTGACCTCAGATCTCTCTCTGGCTTGTCTGACAGTGACCCAGCTGTGACTGATGGCTTCCTTCTTTGAGGGAAGGTATGAGGCTGCAACTTTCCCTGGGTACATGAGGGACTACATCCAAATCACTTCTCAAGCAACCAAAATCTCTTAAGATATCTAAGATACTGAGCATCTGTGTTTCCTCAGAATAGCCTTCTTTTGGTTCTAAGCTAAGGTTATTAGAACAAAGCAAGCCCAATATACTTATCCCCATATAAGTCTGCTCTCACAATTACCTTGTAAAAAGGGGGATACGAGCAGGAATTGATGTTCCTTCAAGGGAAGGGAAACCTCACAACATATCCAGTGGCCTACCTGCCTAAGCACACTGTCTGCAGGATGAACAGGGAATTGAAGACCCCATGTCTTCTGACTGTCCTGCCCCTGAGTTCACCTGCACCAGGTGATGTTGCTGGCACCCACCCTGAGAAGTTTGCCCTAAATAAGTAGATGTATATCAAAACTTACAGAAAATACCATATTATTTTCATTGTAGAGTCAGTCTTATTTTGTTATTGTTGTTGTCTTCATTTTATACAGCCCAAATTTAAAGAACCACTAAGCACCATAATGGAGAAATATGTGGAAACTAACTGTAAGAATGAATGTTCCGGTGCCCAGAATGGACAACATCTGGTAAGTCACACATTTCATAAAATGCCTTCTTAATCAGATTTATTTCAGCCTGGGTGTCTTGTGTATAATAACACTCAAATTTCATCATCAGTAATTTATTGATTTAGTTCTTTTTTGAGTCATTAAAGCTTGAAGGTTGTCTTAGCCTGGATTCCACATGAAGCAAAATCTAAGAAAATGGCTATGTGTGAGTAGTTTATTTGGGAACATGTTCCCAGGGACCCAGAGTGAAAAATGGGAAGGAGAGAAAGCTCCACACAAGGACATCACTGTAGGTGACTGGTTGTTCAGTCTTGTGGGAACATGTTCTGGAGTAAGAAAGGGGCAAAGGAAGAAGCATTTACCCATGGACTTTCAATTTGCATTGGTGAACATTTCTTCCAACCTAGAAGTCATTCTTCCTACTTCTAGTATTCACATTTTTCTGGTACCAGTTGAGTTCTTAAAACACCCAATGTAGTGTTGCCAAAAAAGAAGCTTCATGTCTGCCGGAGGCAAGAGATATATAGCACTGGCCTGAAGCAAGGCTGTATTTACTGGAAACTTGCTGAAGCCTACACAGAACTATTTTTTGCAACAGCGGCTGACATAGGATGTTGGTATGGCTTTGAAGATCAGAAATGGTGGTTAAGAGTTCTCTAATAAAAAGGCTTTCAGACAGAAGACCTTGGTGGAGAAGCCATGAACCCTCAAAGGGTTAACAACTCAAGTGCTTAGTGCTTAGTCCTTAGTGGAACTAAGAGGTAGCACTGAAGCTATGAGACACAAGAAATCACCTTCTGAAGGACAAGTTTGGCTTGTTGGTTTCACTGTGTGCCTTGATAAGTGTGTCATTGTAGCATAAGGATATTCTGGGTACCCTGAGGTACCTTCTATGTTCCTTTGGTAGTATGCCTTTTAAAATGGCTCCCCTAAACTCCCACCTCCTGGAATTCACGCCCTTGTGTAATCTCTCCTTGTTTGTGGGCTGGACCCAGTGACCTGCTTCTAATGTGAAAGATAAATCCTAGAATACTGAGGGCCAAAGTGATTTCATTTATAATTTTTTTTTAGATTTGAGGGTTAGAAGGGGCCCAACAAGAATATAATCTCCAAGAGGGCACAGTTGGCCCTAGGTCAGTATTTGGCACATAATAGATGCTCAATCAGCACTTGGTGAATGAATATAATTGGGGGGGAGGGAGTGAATAAGTGATGATTAGTATTTACATCAAGGAGAGATCAAACCTAATTAGTTTTGAGTAATCAGGTAGCATGAGTAATCAAGATTTCTTCCAACGACCAGAGTGAGAAGTTAAAACTGCCCACATGGCACTGGAAAGATCATGGGACAAGTATTCAGAAACCTACTAGCTGTTTTGCTAAACTACTTTGAGCATTATTCTTTTTCTGCCAGAGGAGATGCTAATAATCATGATCTTACAAAGTCGCTTGAAGAAACAATATGTTTCTACATAAAAGTGCTTTACAAATCCACAAAGCACTGAACAACATTTGCTACTATTTGTCCCGCCTGCTCCAGCCCTCACCTATGACCTGCCATCCCTCTCCTTTGAGTTACAGCCACAGGGAAAATACCAGAGTCCCAGGGATCCGTTCTGTTTTTAACTCACTTTCCAAATGAAATCGTTTGGTTTTGCTCCTAAACCAAGGTGAAAGCAAGGTAGAAATGGAGAAAAGAACAAAGAGGAAGAAACTTGGATGGAGCAAATGTAATAACTTGCCGTGAAGACTTAGGAAGATTTAAATTGTTGCCAAGAACAAGAATGTGATATTTTTTCATGTGGGGCATATTTACTGATTAATTTCTTCTTTTGGTGTGGTTTGATGGAGCCTGAGAGGGAATATGAGAACCCTTCACCCAAGCTCTAGAATGTCTGATATTGCTTAGGACTTCACATTCCTCTGTGATTCCCACTGACTCAGCTCCAGGTTTGGATGTTTTTCCCCTAGTTTTCACCAAAATCATACCTGTAAGAAGGAAAACAGGCCTGGAAAATGGAAGTGGTTGAAGAGCTGTCAGCTCAGTGTCTTGGAGGGAGTCCCTGAACAGCAGTAGGAAGAAGGCAGCTCAGTTTGGAGAAGTGGGAAGAGAGTTGGGAATGGGAGATAAGGCAGGAATGGGGAAAGGCCAGCAAGCTATGAGTCCATGTCCTTCATAGATGCTCAGCTCTGTAAAGATCAGATGGCATCTGCTGTTCAATTACTGAAATATAGCTGTACCACCTGGGAAGTATGTGCTACCATCTGAAGGTCTACCTCCTGCCCTGGACACTGTGGGCCCTCCCCTAGAAGTCTACACCACTAGACAACCCACAATCCAGCAGTCAGAAGGATAATGCCTGGCTCGGTATGGCACCTCCTGGGCTTTGCTCTAGTGAGATGCCCTGCTTTTGAATTTATATCAGTTGCCCAGACTGCACTGCATCTGTGTTACAGCTGCCTAATATTGTTCCTATCTTAATGCTATTCTATGCTTTCTCCCTCCACTAGCTCCCACCCTCTGAACATAAGTGCATACATAGGTGCATGTGCACACACACACAGCACATGAATGCGTGTACACACAGAAGCCCACGGACACACACAGACACAGGTGTGTACATTCACACACAAACACCTGTGGATACATGCACACATGCACGGATGCACATACCTGCAATACGCACATGCATAGACACACACATGCACACACATTTACAGTCACTCTGCCCCAGCTTCACCACCTTCCCTCCACTTTCATTCTGTTTGCATCCAGCCCTCCCGCTGGGGCTCAGCTCCTGGGCCTCGCCTTGCAGAGACTGCAGAGGATGACTTCCTCCATGGGTGTGTTTCCCATGTATGCCCGATGTCAAGTTACTCCACTACTCCTGGAAACACTTAACATTTACAAATTGTTTATTTTATGCCAAAATATTTGTAAACCTCACTTTTCTCACATGCAAAATGATATTAATCATATCTAGTTCACACATTTGTTACGAAGAGTACATAAGGCAATGCATGTAAAGGATTAGCACAGCGCCTGGCTATACCAATTACAATAATTGGTAGCTGTTGCTATCATGGTATGTCTCATTAAGATTTTTATCATTGGGCTTGTTGTTTATCATTAGATTTTTTGAGTTTTGAATTCCCATATCCTTCTAGTTAACTTATCACAGCTTCAAAATGATGTCTATAGTAAAGGACAAAGAATATAAGAAAATGGTTCTCCTTTGTTTCTTCTTCTTAGCTTAATTTAGAAAGAAAAGGAGAGAGGCAAGTATGCTTAGAAGTTTGGGGTTAAATTTTTTTTTATTTATATATGAAATTTATTGTCAAATTGGTTTCCATACAACACCCAGTGCTCATCCCAAAAGGTGCCCTCCTCAATACCCATCACCCACCCTCTCCTCCCTCCCACCCCCCATCAACCCTCAGTTTGTTCTCAGTTTTTAACAGTCTCTTATGCTTTGGCTCTCTCCCACTCTAACCTCTTTTTTTTTTTTCCTTCCCCTCCCCCATGGGTTCCTGTTAAGTTTCTCAGGATCCACATAAGAGTGAAACCATATGGTATCTGTCTTTCTCTGTATGGCTTATTTCACTTAGCATCACACTCTCCAGTTCCATCCACGTTGCTACAAAAGGCCATATTTCATTTTTTCTCATTGCCACGTAGTATTCCATAGTGTATATAAACCACAATTTCTTTATCCATTCATCAGTTGATGGACATTTAGGCTCTTTCCATATTTTGGCTATTGTTGAGAGTGCTGCTATGAACATTGGGGTACAAGTGCCCCTATGCATCAGTACTCCTGTGTCCCTTGGATAAATTCCTAGCAGTGCTATTGCTGGGTCATAGGGTAGGTCTATTTTTAATTTTCTGAGGAACCTCCACACTGCTTTCCAGAGTGGCTGCACCAATTTGCATTCCCACCAACAGTGCAAGAGGGTTCCCGTTTCTCCACATCCTCTCCAGCATCTAGAGTCTCCTGATTTGTTCATTTTGGCCACTCTGACTGGCGTGAGGTGATACCTGAGTGTGGTTTTGATTTGTATTTCCCTGATAAGGAGCGACGCTGAACATCTTTTCATGTGCCTGTTGGCCATCCGGATGTCTTCTTTAGAGAAGTGTCTATTCATGTTTTCTGCCCATTTCTTCACTGGGTTATTTGCTTTTCGGGTGTGGAGTTTGGTGAGCTCTTTATAGATTTTGGAGACTAGCCCTTTGTCCGATATGTCATTTGCAAATATCTTTTCCCATTCCGTTGGTTGCCTTTTAGTTTTGTTGGTTGTTTCCTTTGCTGTGCAGAAGCTTTTTATCTTCATAAGGTCCCAGTAATTCACGTTTGCTTTTAATTCCCTTGCCTTTGGGGATGTGTCGAGTAAGAGATTGCTACGGCTGAGGTCAGAGAGGTCTTTTCCTGCTTTCTCCTCTAGGGTTTTGATGGTTTCCTGTCTCACATTCAGGTCCTTGATCCATTTTGAGTTTATTTTTGTGAATGGTGTGAGAAAGTGGTCTAGTTTCAACCTTCTGCATGTTGCTGTCCAGTTCTCCCAGCACCATTTGTTAAAGAGACTGTCTTTTTTCCATTGGATGTTCTTTCCTGCTTTGTCAAAGATGAGTTGGCCATACGTTTGTGGGTCTAGTTCTGGAGTTTCTATTCTATTCCATTGGTCTATGTGTCTGTTTTTGTGCCAATACCATGCTGTCTTGATGATGACAGCTTTGTAGTAGAGGCTAAAGTCTGGGATTGTGATGCCTCCTGCTTTGGTCTTCTTCTTCAAAACTACTTTGGCTATTCGGGGCCTTTTGTGGTTCCATATGAATTTTAGGATTGCTTGTTCTAGTTTCAAGAAGAATGCTGGTGCAATTTTGATTGGGATTGCATCGAATGTGTAGATAGCTTTGGGTAGTATTGACATTTTGACAATATTTATTCTTCCAATCCATGAGCAGGGAATGTCTTTCCATTTCTTTAAATCTTCTTCAATTACCTTCATAAGCTTTCTAT